TGCCCTTGGATTGCCTTTGCCAAAGCTCCACATAGATACACTGTGGAAACACGGAGACGTCTGAATGAAGCTGAAATCTCTGCTCCTCTGTGCTGCATGTGGAGTCGTGCATGCGCCGTCCCCTACAGTCTCTGCTCTGTACAACACTGTCATCATCAACTATTGGGTGAGGATGTGTTTTAGAGACGCTCGTAACTAATGCAGCCAAGAGAGCAGATGGATATTTCTCACTGTCTACAAGCTTTAGCATTCCCTTTACCTCCGTTTGGCTCCCTCGTTCATGGATGTTATGGTTGACTAATATACTAAAAATTTGGAATAATTATGATTTTGAAATTTATTTCATCATAAAGTTTTCTGCTTAGGTATTATCTCAATGTCAGGTATTCTTGCCATTTGAAGCAGAATTTTCATCATCACCATCATTACTGCAGTCGTCAATGTCACAAGACCCTTCAGAAATCAGTTCAGTGCTGAAATATTACATATTATTATTTTTACTTTGAAAATTAAACAATTTATTATATAATATTATTATATTTTTATGAAACATTAAGAGTTTGGTATTTAGATTTTTTGGGGGATTTTATTTTATTATGTTTTACATTTGTTCATGAGTAATTCATTTACATTTTACATGTTTGTGATTTAATGATTTCATTTATATGTTAACTCTTATGTGCTGTTGGGGATGTTTTCATCCAATCTGGGGTGATTTTGATTCTTAATTTGGCCATAGCTTTTTCTGTTTCAGCTAGCAGAATGATTTTTGGTGACAAATCTTATTTTGAGAAAATGCTTTAAAAAAAAAAAAAAAACACCCTCAACAATAAACTCTGGGCAAATTGAATACCCTTTTGTTATGTTCAGGATGAAAACGTCCACTCAATTAAACTGCTGTAAAAATGCAGCAATTAAATATTGTTTTCAAAGTTTTTTGCATCAATCTGTTAGTCAACCTCAGTCCTGATTGAAACTACTAAATTGCTTAGAAAATGTCAGGATTTAACTCTGTAATTGCTAAATTTACAAATCATGTCACTGATTTGGATAGAAAAAACACACAAAATGAGGCATTTTCAATATAAAAAGTAATATCTTGGACATTTGAAACGATATTGGCTTTGATGCATTGTTTCTGATTGATTTTAATTTTTTCTCCCTAATTTACAGTTGGTGGCTGTTTTTCCACATTGACTTCTATTATAACCACATTTTTTGGATTGCAAAACCATGACATCATATACTCATGGCATTTTTGATTGTTGGTGGTTTTTTCCTGTTGGGAAGAGATCAAATTTGTAATTTTTACTTTTGATCATCTGTTGGCACTATTAGCCCTTTAAATAGGCCTGTGCAAAAAAAAAAAAAAAAAAAAAAGCTTGGTTTCTGGATTTTATATGGGGTATAACAGCAAATTAAACTGTGTCTGTGAGTGTGACCTTTGCGCACTTGCCTTGATGTGTCTGAGAAAATCTAAATATGCATTTCAGAACTACATGGAGTAAATAAAAACAAAGACTGTGTATTTAAGCACCATCAAATGTGGTTATGATGGAAGTCAACGAGGCAAAAACAGCCACCAACAGTAAATCAGGAAGAAAAAGTAAAAATTTAACAATGAATCAAAGGTGATGTTGTTTTTTATGTCCAAAACTGTGATAAAAGGGAAAAAAATACGTCGTTTTGTGTGTTTTTTCACCAAATCAGTGACATCATTTGTAAACTTGGTAATTAAAGAGTTAAGATGCTGTCATTTTCTAAGCAGTTTAATAGTTTTGATCAGGACTGAGGTTGATTAACAGATTTCTGCAAAGAAATATATATATATATATATATATATATATATATATATATATATATATATCTGATGCATTTTTACAGCAGTTTTCATCCTGAACATGACAAAAACCGTGCACAAGGGTTAACTCTTTAAGAATGCATTAAATTAATCAGTAAAAGCTTATTTAAACAGTTTGTAAAATATACATTTGTAAAATAGTTTTTGATGTTTAATATTTTTTTGTTAAAAAAAAAAACACTACCATTGAAAGTTTGGCACAATATTGATCAAAAGTTCCAAATAGTTTTCCAAATTGTATTTAATTTCTGATATGAAAGTTTGGATTGATCTAGTTGAAAAGATTGAAAAGTTCTAACATCATTAGTTATTTACATTATCAGAAATAATTAGTCAATTATTAAAAACGATAATGTGACCAAAGTTTTTCAAATAAATGCTCATCATTGAACTTTCTGTTTATTAAAAAAAATCAGTTTTAAATTAATAACAGCCATTATTATAAATTGAGCACCATATCAAAATTTAATAATAACTTCCTGAAGGATCATGTGATACTGAAGCCTGGAGTAATGATGCTGAAAACTGAATCGCAAAAATAAAACGCATTTTCCAATTGTTTTAAATTGTAATAGTATTCCAAACTTAATTTCTGATATGAAATACATGCATGGTGAACATTTTTTAATAATCATAATTATTCCAAACCTTTATCGCAGGTCTGTTTATAGTTTCACAAACAAGCAAACGCCGACCATCTTCCACCTCAGTCTGATTAATTCCTCAGTGCAACCGCAGTAATTAAACTTATAGAAAAAACTGAAACCCCATAGCTGTCGTCTGACCCCTCTGTCGCGTGTAGTTTCATACGGTTGGTGTGTGTTGGTGTGTAAGAAACTATAGTTTATAACAGTATATTATACACCGCTGCCCTGCGTCCTCATAGAATGAAACTAGCAGCGAATGGCTCTTTATTTAGAAGATATTAGGACTCTCTATTTTCCTTACGAATACTATGAAGAAGAAGAAAAAACTGGAAATATTTATATATTTGTGTATTTATCGTAAATAATGTTTCAGAGAAAAGATGTCTGGGTAAGGTAAAAGCCAAACATTTTCCAGGAGTCGTTTTCGCTCATTCGTTTGCGTGAGGCATGGTTCATTTAATTAGTAGTAGTGATGTCATCATACAGGTTTCATCCTAATTAAATGGCAATAGTACTTCATCATCATCACCACAACGCGAAGGTCATTTTTAGGTTTCTGCTTTAATATATTGAGATTTCAGAATGTGTTGTTGTTTTGATTCGGTACAGTGAGGCTGTACTGTGAATTATGCATATGATTTAATGTGCTTTATTTTCTTGTATATAAGGATTGTATTTAAAGAATGTTTCGTACGAATTGGACTCGAATGTTATTGTTTTACGTCTGTACAAATCAGCCTTAAAATTCACTCGTTGCAAACATTTATCATGTTGTTTTCACGTAATTGATGGAAATGTTTTTAGTAGGAAGATTTGTTTAATTTAGTTTATCTTCTTGTGTGCCTGTTTACGACTTACAACGATAATCAGCTTGAACCGTGTTGATTTTTCTAATATTGCTCTCACGTCATGTCATTATCATGCTAATGTACAGCGCATTAAAAAAGTACCTTTGGAAAAGTTTGTTTTCTTTTTTTTATAAAAAAAAAGTTTTGCTGCAAAAAAAAAAAAATTAAATCATTAATTTTCTTTTCGGCTTATTTATTAATTAGGGCTCACCACAATGGAATAAACTGCCAACTTATCTAGCATATGTTTTACGCAGCGGATGCCCTTTCAGCTGCAACCCAACATTGGGAAACATCCATACACACACAACAGACAATTTAGCTTACCCAATTCACCTGTACCGCATGTCTTTGGACTTGTGGGGGGAACCGGAGCACCCAGAGGAAACCCACGCGATCGGGGAGAACATGCTAAGTCCATGCAGAAATGCCAACTGACCTAGCCACGGCTCGAACCAGCAACCTTGCTGAGAGGTATTACCCACTGCGCCACCACGTCACCCTTAAGAATGATTAATAGGACAAAATAATTTCTTTGAAAATGTCTGAGAGATTTTCTCTTTACTGACGACAATTTTACTTTGGCACTTATAAGGTTAGTTCACACACAAATTTTATTTATACCAATTATTACTCACCTCATGTCGTTTCAAACCCCTGAGTAATTAATAACATGACATACATTTTTGGCTGAACTAGGCTATCATTTTCAATTTTTCTTTCAATAATTACTAAAATTACTAACGCTTTAAGGGGGAAAACCAACGCAATGTCACGGCAATTCATAAGTTTTTGATTTAGTGGCTAATTCGTATGAATTCGTACAATCTAATTCGTACAATTTAGTATGAATTGCTCATCACCCAATGACGGTTAGGGGTGGGGTTAGGTGCCACGCCTCCTTTTTAAAATCGTACATTATTGTACGACTGAACTCGTACGAATTAGCCACAAAACAGACAAAATGTAAAATAGTTTCGTTTCCTCGTAAGATCGGGAAAACTACTAAATGAAAGGCGAAAAAATAAATTCATTAAGAAAAAACAAATAATATATGACTAGGCCGCATGCGACCGGTCGACCAAATGTAATGTATTCCAGTGTTGTCTAAGCAGGTCTGTGTGTGAGATGAGAAATAGGGGATTGAGGGAAAAGTCCTCATTGATAGTGTTTATATGAACATGACAGTTGACCAAGAGGCGACACTCAAGCTGACGGCTGTCCATTGGATCTTATTGCTGTCGTGATGGCACGCAGCTGCTTTTTTTATTTAATTATTTAAAAAGCACATTAAAGCTGAGATACAAACTAAAATAGGACAATACAACATTTACTATCACAATCATCAGCACTTTAAATAGTTTATTTTACGGGCTTATAATATGCTGCTGGTGTTTTCGTATTAAAATGGCCGCCATGCCATCTAGTGGCTGTTTCCCAAATTGCACTAGAGCGTCGCCTCTTGGTGATTCTATGCTCTTTGCCGAAAGTGGGGGGTGTCATTTAATACAAAAAAATATTTGAGCTGCTAAATATTTTTGTGAATAACATAAATTTGTCGAATTTTATCCAAAAGATTTGATTGAACACACTAATAACTTACACAACATTTGTGTTTAAAACAATCATGACAGACTCCAGTCATATCAGTAGCCACATGAAAATAGTTTTAATTTAAACGGAGCGCATTATGGGGTTAAACATGTTTTTTTGGCTCAACATAAACCAAAAAAATACTGACTCCAGTACACCTTTGGCAATCCCCTTCACCTCTCATCATTGTACAGACAAAAACACATACAGTAAGAACATAACCACTCAAAATTCACAGCTACTTAAAACAGACCATAACAAATGCTACACAATTCAACAAATGAACAGAACAAACAAGATGAGGCACAATCTGGATTAGGAGTGATAAAAAGAGGTTTAGATTTGCTTCTGTACGTCTTCTGTTTCAGCATTAAGACACTTCTGAAAAAAGCCTGTTCCATGTTTCTAATAAATTAAAAAGCAAAAGCAGCTGTCTGATTTATATTATAAAGTGTACAATTCTCTGATAAATATTTATAAAGGTGAACACATGCACAGCTGTAAACAGAATCAAATACTGGAGAGGCTTATTCAAGTCCGAGTGAAAAGTTTATCCCGTGGACGATTCCGATGATGATTGGCTGCCAGGCCACCAGATACCTGAGCCAGTCCAGCAGCTGCCCGTATAAAACATGAGTTCTCTCCCAGCTGAGCAATGCAGTCAAGGTGGAAATATGGCTATTATTATCATCTGTAATGGATACAGGCTGATATTTCAAATATATTCTTAGTAGTTTGTATTGTTTTTATAATTTATACAGTAATAATATAACAAAACAATTTAGGTTAGGTCAGCAGAGTTTCTTTACAGGGGTCTGATGATTCTTATATTTTTAATCAAATTTTATAATAATAAAAACACATACATGTACACATAAAAGAATTTATAAAAAATATAAAACCTGAAAAATCACATGTACACAAATATTCACAGCCTTTGAAGACAAAGGAATTGTCTGTACACTTCCGAGGCAGGATTGTCTCGAGGCACAAGGCTGTTGAAGATTACAGAAAACTTTCTGCTGCTCGGAAAGTTCCAATGAGCACAGTGGCCTCCATCATCCGTAAGTGGAAGATGTTTGGAACCATCAGGACTCTTCCCAGAGCTGGCCAATCATCTAACCTGAGTGATAAGGGCAGAAGGGCCTTAGTCAGGGGAAGATCAATAACCCAATGGTCACTCTGTTTAAGCTCCAGCATTCTGTGGAGAGAGGAGAACCTTACAGAAGGACAACCATCTGTGCAGCAATCCACCAATCAGCCCTGTATGGTAGAGTGGCCAGACGGAAGCCACTGCCCACCTGGAATTTGCCAAAAGGCATCTGAAGGACTCTCAGACCATAAGAAACTAAATTCTCTGGTCTGATAAGACTAAAATTGAACTCTTTAGAGTGAATGCCAGGAGTTACGTTGAGAGAAAACTAGGCACCACTCATCACCAGGCTAATACCATCCCTCCAGTGAAGCATGGTGGTGGCAGGGGATGTTTTTTTTGCAGCAGGAACTGAAAGACTTGTCAGGATAGAGAGAAAGATGAATGCAGCAATGTACAGAGACATCCTGAATGAAAACCTGCTGCAGAGTGCTCTTGACCTCAGACTGGGGTAACGGTTCATCTTCCAGCAGGACAATGACCCAAAGCAAACTGCCATAATTTCAATGGAGTGGCTTCACAACAACTCTGTGAATGTCATTGAGTGGCCCGGCCGGAGCCCAGACCTAAATCCAATTGAACATCTCTGAAGAGATCTGAAAATGGCTGTACACCATCGCTTTTCATCCAACCTGACAGAGCTTGAGTAGTACTGCAAAAAGGAATGGGCAAAAATTCCCAAAGACAGGTGTGCCAAACGTGTGGCATCATATTCAAATAGACATGAGGCTGTAAATGCTGCCGAAAGTGAAACAACAAAGTATTAAGCAAAGGCTGTGAATAATGATGTACATGTGATTTTTCAGGTTTTTTATTTTTTTTAAATTTTCAACAATTCCAAAAACTTTTGAGGAAATAAATGAATTTAATCCATTTTGGAATAAGGCTGTAACATAAAAAATGTGGAAAAAATGTGTGAAGTGCTATGAATACTTTCCTGGATCCACTGTACAAATATTAAAATACAATAGATGTATTATGTTCTAATATATTGTATGAAATAAATAAAATGTATTATCATTGACCAGTTATTATAGATTTTTTTTACAAACAAACGTCAAAATATCAGTGCTAGACTATTTATTTGCAGAAATTGACAATAAGTCAATATAAAACATTACATGGTTGCAGACCTAAAAATATAAATAATTTATATAATATAATAATACATTTTTCCAATATACAGTGTATGCATATATATATATATATATGCATTATTGAATTGAGAATTATCATGCATGTAAAACAGTCTTCAAGGATACGGGTTATTCATCATCCGTTTGAGGTCCACTTTCTCATTGCAGTATGGACATGTTTGCTTTTTTCCCACGATGCACCAGCCACGAATACAGAATTCATGAAATCTGTAAACCAAAAGTAGTTAAGTAGCATAAACAAACAAACAGTTGTGTTATTTTAACCAGCAAAGGCTTGCAGAAACTTTGACTTTGTCTCCACCTTAAAAAAAATCGGTCTTGAACCAAATCTGTAACCATAACTGAACCCCTCAACACATGGTTTGTCCATAAAACAAATAATCTTCTCGTTAGCTGTTAAGATGAGCATTAAAGCTGCAGTTTGGTTGAAATAAAGGATACGTGTGGTTGCAGGAGAGCTGATAGGTGTCCTCAATAATGCCTTCCTCATCTACATCCACAAAAATCTTCTGACCGCACACGGCACACACATCATTGTTGAGGTTTCGGGATGGCATATCACCCATGTTATAGTACTGAAAAAAACATCAACAGAGAGTTACTGGAAGATACAGCAACTAATAATAATAATAATAATAATAATATTTATCTCCATTCTTTCCCAATTGGTTGATTACATTAAGAATGGCTGACTTATCAATATAACAAGTTTAAATATGCAAATGATGCATTATTTCAATAAATATGTGCTAATTTGCATCCATTTTGACACAAAAATCTATTTAAACATTATCATTAAACATTAATCGTGTATCATTCTCATTACATGTTTTGGGCATATTAGAGTCCTATTGTTCCTACAGAGGGGATTTTGGGTTTCAACCTATTATATCATCACTTAATATGTCAGAAAACATTGACAACATCCAGAAAAATAAAAAGTGACATGTAGAGAGTGATGAATGTGATGAACTCACCCCTATAGTGGACGCCATGTAGTCTGAGCAGATTTCTGCAAAATCACGTCCCATCACTCCATAATACAAGCCATAGAAAAGCATGATCACACCCACATCCATCGAGTCCTCTGCTTTAATCCTGAAGCACAGACAAATTGACTTCATGTTTTTTAATACATTCATAATATATTTATTTAATAATCCCGCCCGGCCATATCACTCTTTTATTGCACTTATTATATTATATTATATTATATTATATTATATTATATTATATTATATTATATTATATTATATTATATTATACTAAATTATGCTATATAAGTTATTATATTATATTACATTATACTAAATTATGCTATATAAGTTATTATATTATATTACACTTTATTATATCATACTAAATTATACTAAATTATATTATATTATATTATATTATACTAAATTATACTATATTATATTATATTATATTAGATTAGAGTAGATTACTCTAAATTATATTATATTAGATTATATAAATTATATTATATTATATTATATTATATTATATTATATTATATTATATTATATTATATTATATTATATTATATTATCCCACTTGGATTTAGACCTGAATTCAATTTAGTCTTATTAAGTCTTATTAAGTTATAAAAGATAAATTATGTTTCAACCACAACAAATCAATAAATTTAACCGTCTATACAAGTTTTCTGAAATCACAATCAACAATCAGCCTTGCATGTATATCTTCTAAAAGTAATATGTATGAAAAGTATTCATCCATCACTTTTTATCCTTGCAAAGTCACCATTGTGCAATTTCCCTCTATTATCAAGCCATTACGCCAGCCTTAATATTAAAACAATGAACAGGGTCCTACTAACATCAGACTGAGTTCACACACCTGAAGAAAACGTTGAATCCAAACATGGTGAACATGATGGCGAGGTACCCAATCACACCCACAGCATAGCTCAGCTTGTAGATGAGGAGGAACCACTTATACACCATCCTGAAAAAGACAGAGACCTACATTTTAGCATAAACTCTATTAAACAATGCACAGACCACACGTTTAGCAAGAAACATAGCATGTCTTGTAATATTCAAGTAAAACTTGCATAGTTGCAACTAAATTTAAAACAGCGCTTCAAAGTCATTACCGTGGCGTCCTGCAGGACAGAGGCTTGCGTGTGGCTCTGAATATGACGTAACTGGTGATGACGGAGAACATGCCCCATGTGGACAGAAAACGCCACCAGTAAAGCTTGATGGTGAAGTAGAGAGGAACCACCCACATCTGCAGCAGTGTGACCATCTACAGGAGACCCAACATTCATTAACTGTGCTTTATATATGCATAATAAAGTCAGGTGTGTTTAAATTTATAGATAACCCGAAAAATGAAAATTCTGCCATCATTTAATCTTTATTTAATTTCCAAACTACAAAAGAACACAAAGATATTTTAAAAAATGTTGGAAACCTTTAAACATTGACTTCCATAATATCTGTTATTCCTACTATGGATGTCAATGGTTACCCATTTCCAACATTCTTCAAAATATCTACTTTTTTGTTCAATGAAGCTTGATTGTGTGCACAAATCCATTTGTTTTGAAGGCTGTCGTACCTGATGGGCTTGCCCTTTTACTATTATTTGCAACAACAGGGGAGTAATGACAAAACAGTTGTAAAGAAGAAGTCAGTAATATTTTTTTCTTCTAGGGATAGTGGCATTTATTTATTTTTGGCTGTCATCATGGCGAAGACAAAACAAATTAGTTATTAAGACTGTAATATAAATTAATGTGTTGGAAAAAAGTCTCTCCTTTAAACAGCCATTAAAATTTCACAAGGAGGACTAATCGTTTCGACTTACCAAACCAAATTAATAGGTTGAGCATAAATTTGGAAGACATTCATGAAAATGTAAAAATGTAAGTGAAATAAGCTAAACTGTACATATCCAGGCTAACTGTGTGCTTAATGCAAAACAGTATATACAAAACAATTAAAATAAAATTTATTTACAAAGCTTTGGGCAACCGGTGCACAGAATAAATGCATTGTTTTGCCTCAATGCTTCAAAAGAAACTTAAAGGGGTGGTCCACTACGATATCATGTTTTAAACTTCAGTTGATGTGTAATGTAGCTGTGTGAACATAAACAACATCTCTGAATATAAAATGTTCAAAGTTCAATGCAGAGAGAGAGACCTTGGTTTTTACAGAGTTAGATTAGCAAAGCCTACAATGAACGAATTTTGGGGACTACAAAAAAATACTTCCGGGCCTGTGAGATCACAAACGTACTTTTACTGCGCACACACACTGCGCAGCTGAGGGGCGTGGCCAGAGGCGCTGTAATGTTAGAGCAGAGATAAAGCTAAAATACGTTCAAATGCTGCTATTTCCACAGAGCTTCTTCTGTTTCTGTATTTAGGCTTCCAAAGGAAACAACACAAAGACAGAAGTGCTTACAGTTCAATATTAATTATGTTCCAGAGAATTATAAAGTACATAGCAAGCATGATTTGACAAAGCACAGCTTCCAGAATCTCTCCCAGTTCAGTGCTGGATTCGGTTAAATTTGGTTAAAACTACAACCTGTAAGTGTTTTTATTTGTTAAAATTGATCATGACATGTACAGTTTCTAGCGTTTACGGTGTGTTGTAGCAACGATGTAAACAACGGGAAATGCTGTTTTGCACAGCAAATGATTTAGCTACAAATTCATATTTATCACACACACACTTCACAGCCGAGTGCTGCCTCTCTCTATGTGTGTGCGCGACTTTGCATTGATTCTCTTTAGGCAGCTTTTCTATGCTTTTTACATCTCAGATAATGAAGTCGCAAAAGATATGTGAATGATTCATGTTACTTACACCTGCATATTCCGGATACATGTGAAAGCCGTCGTGTAACGCCTTGAGTTAAAAGAATACAGGAGAGCTCGCCTAACTCGTGTAGCAGCAGAAAAATAAATCAAGGCTCACACAGGTCGCATCCCACATCTTGTGCTTTACTCTTCTGTCAGCAGTGTCACGATATATTACAGAAAATAACAATCCGAGCATCAGAGAAAAGGAAAAAAAATTCCCGCGCACATGCGCTTGTTACACGCGTCTACAGAAAGTTCACACATTCACGCACACACAAAGACACACGCAATTGCGAGGTCTCTTAAAGGAGCCGCACCCCAGCTTCACTTGTTTTAGAGAGGGGGCAGGAGGTTGACTGACTGTTTACACAGCAGAAAAGTGCATGCTTGTACAGGTGTGATGGAGCCGATTCGCGAATCACAGCACATTATGACAGGTGACCTATCAGAGTCACTTGAGGGCGGGCCTTTCAGAGGAACTAGGAAATATGTCAGTCGTTTTCATGCTAGCCGAGTAGCTGTATATAATCAAAGTGAGATATATGAAAAAATAACGTGGTTTCCTTCAAGTGAAACATGAGCACACATTGCTTTGCATCTTATAAACACAACCAAGCCTTAAAATTACATTCTGGACCACCCCTTTAAAAATGCTGTGTCGCATTCGTTGTGTGTAAGCCAACAGATCAAGTATAAATCAGCCTTAAATGTTGACAGAATTTTCCTTTTTGTGTGAACTATCCCTTTAATTGATATCACTCACATTGTAGGATCTGCAGTGTCTTTGTTTCCACTGAACCAGGACAATCTGTGCGACCACTAGCGTAGCGATGAGAATCAGGACCATCTCTGCATGCATGGCCTCATGACCTCTGTGCTTCACGTGTAGCCTCTCGTGCTGCATCCTGAAGAATGAGAAGCAAAATACTCTTTAAAGGGGCAGTTCACCCAAAAATGAAATTCTGACATCATTTACTGATCCTCCACTTGTTCCAAACCTGTTTGAGTTTCTTTCTTCTGTTGAACATGAAGGAAGATATACTGAAGCATGTAGGAAAAAACTGCCATTGACTTTTTAGTTCATTTTATGTTTCTACAATGGACACTGCAAACATTTTTTGTCTTACTTACAATTTTTGTTTTGTTTCTAGTCCAAACATCAAAAAAATTGTTTGGAAAAAAATCATTTTCTAAAAACATAAAAAGGAATGATTTGTTTCCAGGAAGAAGTTTTGGTCCCACTTTATATTAAGTGTCCTTAACTACTATGTACTTACATCAAAAAATAAATACAATGTACTTACTGTGTTCATAATGTATTTGAGAACACTTGTGGGGCTTTTGAGTTGGGATAGAGGTTGGGTTATGGACAGGTTTGGTGGCATGGGTAGGTTTAAGGGCGGGTTAAGGTGTAAGGGATGGTCAACAGTGTATTTACAAATGTAATTACAAAAGTTAATTACAGATGTAATTACATACATGTATTTAATCAAGCATAAGTACATAGTAAATACATTTTATTTACACAATAAGTACATTGTAACAAACTATTAATTCCTGTGTAAGTACATATTAGTTAAGGCCACTTAATATAAAGTGTGACAGAAGTTTTTAAGTTTTTTTTTTTTTTGAGAAAAAGTACAAGTCAAAATTAAGTGTGTTTGTCCTTAAAACAAGCTAAATAATCTGCCAGAGGTGTAAATACAATACACAGCACTGGCGGACAATTTTGCTTGTTTTACAGAAAAACTCACCTACAGTAATATTTACTTACTATTTCTGAAATAATGTTATAATTGTCTAGAAAATGATTCTTGATTTAAGAATATTTAGACATTTTGACAAGAAACAAGAAAAAAAAAACTTTTCAAGTGAATGTCAATGGCTGCCTTTTCCCAACATTCTTCAAAATGTCTTCTTTTGTAATCAACAGAAGACAGAAATTGAGTTTAGAACCACTTGGAGTGTGAATAAATAATGAGCGAGTTTTCATTTTGGGGTGAATTATCCCTTTAATGCACGGATTTCAAAACTAGAAGCTAATGACGTGGAAAAAAAATAGGCCAGGAATTTTTGAAAGAGCTTTTGTTCATTTTGAAGGATCATAGAGCTACTTAGGCCACCTGCACGACACTGCCAGCGTTCACTTTAATAATGACACACATGCTCCAGAAACTATTTTTACAGAAGGTGACAATCACAAAGCACTGAAAAAGACAGACTGTGACATTATATAAGAGCTTAAAGCAACACTCCACTTTATTTAGAAATAGACTCCCTACAGTTAAGTTTTAACATTATTTTAATCTATTCAGCCAATCTCTGGGTCTGATGGAAGCACTTTTAGCTTAGCATAAATCATTGAATTGGTTTAGACCATTAGCGTCTCACTCCAAACATTCACAAAAGAGTTTAGTTAATTTCTCTTTTTAAAGCTTGACTTTTCTGTAGTTACACAGTGTAGTAAAACCATTGGAAAATAAAGAGTGTTCCTTTAACACACAACATGTACCTTTCTTAAAATCTATCTGCATTATTATAAGCCACAGTGACTGTAAATAATTGGATACTTACTTCCACGATTCTCTGTGAGACATTTTCAGAAGATCATCCTGAGCAGAAAGAACTGGATTTAGACAATACACGTGCAATTCAGAATCATTTTATATACATTTGCATATCTTCATATTCTTCTTATTTGGTCAGTTTTACAGCAGCCAATATTAAACACCATTTGAAGTACTTTTAATATTATAATGCTAATTCATGGCATCTTCGGTTTAATATAACTTGTAGTCTTGATTTATTTTGCTTTTATTTATTGATTTTTACCTGATCATTAGGCAGTACCGACTACTGCTAGCCAATCAGAATCTAATTTTCCAGTGAGCTGCACCATAGAATGCAACATCAGGTTGTGGAGGTTAAAAGCCCCGTTCATTTTCTTTACTGGAGAACTGATTTTTAACCGTTTTTAAACTGATAAAGACAGACTGAACTTATTTTTTCAGTGCTTTATCATTTAATTAAAACCATCAATCCACATTCATTCGTTCATTCATTTTCTTTTCAGCTTAGTCCCTTATTTTTAAGGGATAGCCACAGCGGAATGAACCACCAACTATTCCAGCATATGTTTTATACTACGGCCGTTTTAGTTTACCCAGTTCACCTACAGCGCATTTCTTTGGACAGTGGGAAAAACCGGAGCACCCAGAGGAAACCCACGCCAACATGTGGAAAACATGCTAACTCCTGCCGGGACTCTAAGCGACCTTCTTGCTGTGGGGTGACAGTGCTAATCACTGAACCAACATGCCGCTCATAAAGTCATGCATGATGCCCTATGCTGGTTTTGAACCTACCATCTCAGTGTTGATAGTGCAATGCTTAGCACATTGAGCTAGCTGATCAGGCATTCATTTCATGTTTTTTCAGCTTTTTTATCATTCTATGGAGAAATCTCGACCAATCAGAGAACCACAAAGAAATAAAGGCTCTAAAACTATAAACTAGCAACATCCATAAATCTGTATCAGTGCTGAACAAATTAAATTTTAAACTTTTAATCCACTTAAGTCATCTGCAATTGTACTTTTGTCCATTTGTTAGATTTTTTGAATGTGATTAAACTCATTGGTTTGGTTAATAACTCTTAATAAAAATAAATATAACTTAATAAATATTCTCTACATGGGAAAAATGAATAAAAAACATAAAACCGAATCCAAGATAGTTGAAAAAAGTTAGCAGAAACAAAAAGTTTTTTAACAAAGCAACTGAAGTACATGTAATAATAACTGAAATACAATTATGCGTTAATAATGTATAAACAAAAATGTGATTAAACATGCCATGAATTTGAAAGCAATAGTTCACCCAAAAGCAAGGATTTACTCACCCTCAAGTGGTTCCAAACCTTTATGACTTGCTTTATTCTGTTGAACACAAAAGAAGATATTTGGAATAAGCCTGTAACCACTGACTAGCAAAGTTTTTTTTTCCTACCATTGAAGTCAATGGTTACAGGTTTTTAGATTTCACACAGGTTTGGAAAGGGTGAGTAAACGATAACAGAATTTACAGTTTGGGGTGAACTATAGCTTTAACAACTGATGTACACTTCCTTTATCATGCATTATGAAATCATACCTACCCTGATGCTGTCGTGTTATTCTGTATGTCATATGAGTGCGAGATAAACATGGCCATGCTTTTCCATGAGGGGTCACGTGACCGATTTAGCATTCAGCCTTTATAAAAACTACTGATCATATAAGAACGGTCTGTGTTCAAATTAAAAGTCTCTCATTATTATACTTTTATTTATTTATAAATCAGCCATATAACGTTACACTTGAAGGTTGTGATTGTTAAGTCCAATTTGCTCAAATTGCAATGATATCGTGCAGTGCTAAGCTAGGCGTTTGTCATTACAATAAATATCAGTTGGATGATCATAATTACCTTTTTACAGTCAATGAGTCGTAGCAATATCATATAACAGAATGCATAGATAGATTATACTGCATGCACAGGTGTTTCTTCCTGCCACGTTTGAAGGCGTTTTACTCGCGTACACCCAGTTTGCAATGCATAACATTAAACAGACCGACAAAATAAACTAAAACGTTTCTATTACGAACCAATAACATATTGACACCGAGCGTGTTGATTTAATGACGGTGTAAACAGATTCGTGTAACGTAATACAACGTTTATGACAGGCCACTGGTAGTGCAGATCCACAGCAGCTTTAGCATACGCCATGATATCAGGGCGAAATGCCGGAGTTTTAGTCGTTTGACTAATATCTATACATATGAAATACTGAAACGAGTACCTGTGGTTGCAGGCCGGCCATTATTAATACCAGTTTAGATTCCGGTCATCTATTAATGGCTCCGTTTCTACCGGCAGACATTCTGCTCCGGTTCCATTACGAGCGAATCATTCTTGTGAGTCGGTTCTGCTAAATGAATCTTTTGATTCGGCGTGTCAAGATTCATTTTCTGATCGAACGTGGCCGAGTGATTCTCAAGTCATCTGGCCGACTCGTTTGTTTGACGTGTACTACTAGAGATGTCTTGTAAGTTATCTCGCCAAAAGTAAAGAAAGGTAGGTCGACAGCAGAAATGGCAACATTAAACGTAGGACTGGAAGTATATTTATAAGGCTTTGGCAGTTATGTTACACTTTATTCATTAAAATGTGGAAAAATTAATTGATTTGTTTGATTTGTTACAAAGTTTCGGATGTATATTTTTTTCAAAAAAGTATTTGAGCTAAATATATATCATACTTGAAAATTATCTATTTAAACTGGAAAATACAATATATTAAACGCAAATGTGTGTCTATGACGTGAAATAATCAGTGAATCGTTTTAGCCGGATCTCTGAAACAAACCATTCAAAAGAACCGGATGTTTCTGTAATGTTTTCATGACAACGGTATTCTGGCTCAGAATCTGCGCAGAATCAACTCTGCACACCTCTCGAGATTGACACATTGGTTAAAAATATCAGTTCGTTCAAAGCACACTCAATTCCATTTCCTACAATAGTGTAAAATATGCATTATTTAAATAAATATGTGCTAATTTCCGTATGTGTTTTGCTCAAAAATCTGAACAATTATATTATTCTTCACAGTTATAGTCAATAGTTTTTACACGGGATATTTTTTTTTTATCTAGATAGAATAACATCTTGTATCAAAACAGGCATTTATGGTCTATTACCATGTCCATATGTAAAAAAAAACAAAAAACAAAAACTAAAGGTTATTAATTCATTCATTTATTTTCTTTTCGGCTTAGTCCCTTTATTAGTCAGGGGTCGCCACAGCAAAATGAACCGCCAACTGATCCAGCATATGGTTTACGGATGTCCTTCCAGCTGCAACCCATCACTGGTAAACACTCACTTGCATTCTCACACACACGCACAAACTACGGACAATTTAGCCTACCCAATTCACCTGTACCGCATGTCTTTGGACTTGTGGGGTAAACCAGAGCACCTGGAGGAAACCCACGCGAACACCTAGAGAACATGCAAACTCCACACAGAAATGCCAAATTGGAATTTAAGTTATACGAGGTGAAAATTTATTTTTCGGTGCAGGAGAAAGACAAATAACTTCAAAATAACTACTCCGCACACTCTGACAAAGGTCCTGAATTTGCCATTGGTCCAGAATTTTTGCCACTGTATTTTCATTTGACCTATTTTGACTGCTATGTCATCATAAATTGTGGAAACAACCCATTAAAGGTTTTAAGATGATGCACAATATGACATAAGTAGAGTCAACTTTCACCATTGACCTACTGTTGTTAAAAATAAAAAACATTTTACAAGTAGCCTAACTTTTACTCTAAATCTTGAACCTAATTCTTGAGAGAATACTGTGTACTGTGTATAAAAATCCAAAATCAAACAAAAAGTTCTCAGGGGTAGCTTAAATAATGTGTCGGTGCTCTTTGGGTAAAGGATTCATCAGAATAAACATCAAAATCAGTCCAAGGCACTCAAAAAATGTGGAAGAAATAATAGCCGTTATTGACATGGCTGTTCCTTAAAACTGCGGCTACATCATGTTACCCTGATGAAGTCAAGAATATCAAAATGTGTAGGCGCTGTTTTAAGAAATAGCCATGTCAGTAAAAGCTTTTTAATTTTTTACCACATTTTTCGAGTGCCTCAGACTGACTTTTGCTGTTTATAATTAGGCTGTTGTTGTTGAATTTTCAAGAGAGGGTAGAAGAAAATCGTCAAGCTCTTCTTTATTTTTGTTAAATATAAATCTTGTGGAAATATGTTTGGTATATCTAAAATGGAGGATACAACAAGCTAATCCAGCTAAAGTAGTGCTTAAAATGCCACTTATAAAAGTATGTAAAGTTTAAACATCATAATTAAATAGAAATGAAGGTGAATAACTGCAAAAAAAAAGTCAGTATTTTGAGAAAAAGAACCCAGGCTGGCTACGGGCCTGTATAAATACAGTGTTAATGCCTACTTTACACAGTCTGAGAATCAGCTTTTTTGGTAAACTGTCATTCATTCATTCATTCATTCAGTCATTCATTCATTCTCTTTTTGGCTTAGTCCCTTTATTAATCTGGGGTCGCCACAACGGAATGAACCACCTGGTAAACTGTCAGTAAAATGTTAATATTATTTTCTGTAATATCTGAGAAATATTGGTTAGTTATACCTGGTAACACTTTACAATAAGGTTCATTAGTTAATGCATTTACTAACATGAACTAATAATGAACAACACTTGTACAGCATTTATTAACCATAATTGAACATTTACTAATGCATTATTAACATCCAAGTCCATGCTTGTTAACATTAGTTAATGCACCATGAGTTAACATGAATCAACAATGAACTACTGTATTTTCATTAACTAACGTTAACTAACATAAATACATACTGTAGTAAATGTATTGTTCTTTGTTTGTTCATGTTAGTAAATGCATTAATTAACATTAACTGATAAACCTTATTGTAAAGTGTGACCTTATACGTAAAGCAGTTTTAGGTAATTGAGGGTGATTGACTGAAAGCATTATTTAATGATTATTTTTTTCAGCCGAGTACAACGAGTCTGTTTGTTAAGTTGAGTCAAAAGTCTAACTTTGAGTCAAAGATGTGGGTGGTTGATAATATGGCACAACAGATCACAGGCCAAACAAACAGCAGTTTACTTGTTGAGTAATACAGAAACAAACATACATCTTCTGATTCATTGTGTTTTGATTTTCTAATATTATTTACAGGTCAGGACTGAGCCATTTTACTAAAAGAATTTTAAATTAAGCATGCTATTTTTTCTGCTTAAACACTGGCATCTTTTACACATTTCTACACATTCTGTTAGCAACCATGAGTGTATATCTAGCCTATGGCAAATCAAAATTGCAGCCATAGATGATACTTTTACACTGAAATTTATACATTTGTACACACTTTTTTTTTTTTTACAATATTATCAATATTATTAGTCACATAATATGCTAACTGTTTATTTATTACAGCTTACATACTTGCACACGATTGCTTCATGATTAAGTTACTGGTTTGCTCACGTCTTCATTTCCCAAAAACGATGCCGTCCTGGAATTGATTTCCAAAAGCCAGAATTAAATATTAACTAGTGTCGTGTCTCAGTTCAGGGGGCGTCTGGTATAAATTCAGGAAGAGCAGCTCTGGATTATCTGCATCTGCCTCACACTTGTGCTGGAACTGAAGTGTGAGTTCTACAAAAATGAAGCTTGTCTTATTACTTTGCCTGTGTGCTGTTGGAGCTCTCGCACAGGATGACTATGATGATTATGGAGTAAGTGTCTCTTAAAATGTTGCAAAGAATAAAAATTTGAGATTTTTGCAATGTAGTTTTTATTGTATTGTACTGATAAACTTTTTTGATTTCTTATTACAGGAAGGAAAAAAAGAGGTAAGTTTTCTTTTAATTGCACTCGATTGTCAGTCAATTCAAAACATATATTGCATAAATCATAGGAAAAACGGGAATGATGAATAAAAAAAGATAAATAATTATGTTGCAATTACGTTAAAATAACTTGAAGCATCCGTGATGTTTTAGCATAAGTAATGTTAATGAATAAGAGTAACTAATGCAGGATTTAGTAATATCTCGAATTAGTTATAATAAATATATTTAGTTTTTCTTTAAATTTTAAGGAACGTTTTAATAATTATGCTACTAATTTTGTGAAACATAAAAAATATATCTGCGTCGTTTTAATTGTAATATTTTTGTGTTGGACTAATAATTTATTGGCTAGCTGAAACAAAAATAAGATGGTAAAAGAATAATTGCAATTAATCATATCCAAAATAAAATCTTGGATGTATAAATACAGTTGAAATCCGAATTATTAGCCCCCCTTTGAATTTTTTTTTTTAATATTTCCAAAATTATGTTTAATAGAGCAAAGAAATTTTCACAGTATGTCTGATAATATTTTTTCTTCAGGAGAACATCTTAGTTGATTTATTTAGGCTAGGATAAAAGCAGTTTTACATTTTTTAAAAAAACATTTTAAGGTCAAAATTATTAGCCCCTTTAAGCTATATTTTTTCAATATTCTACAGAACAAACAATCGTTATACAATAACTTGCCTAATGACCCTAACCTGCCCAGTTAACCTAATTAACCTAGTTAAGCCTTTAAATGCCACTTTAAGCTGTATAGAAGTGTCTTGAAGAATATCTAGTCAAATATTATTTACTGTCATCATGACAAAGATAAAAGAAATGAGTTATTAGAAATGAGTTATTAAAACTATTATGTTTAGAAATGTGTTGAAAAAATCTTCTCTATATAAACAGGGGCTAATAATTCTGACTTTAAACATATATATATATATATATATATATATATATATATATATATATATATATATATATATATATATATATATATATCACTTAATGATATATTGCAACTTAAAGGAAATTTTCTAAAATGTGTTTTTTTATCTATTTTAGGCTAAAGAAGTCGTAGACCCCAGGGGTCATCGTCCCGTCAGCAGAGGTCGAGAGACATACTCTCCAGGCCCTGTTTCTCAGCCGCCCATCAGCGGGGGAACCCGATACCGTGGCAGACCAACAGCAGCGCCGGTGGGCAAAGCTGTGCAGGAGAAAGAGGAGCAACCTGAATCAGGCGGATGCAACCATATGTCTGAGAAAATGGTCAGTCAATGGGATTTAATTCTGCCATGGTGGCTCAGTGGTTAGCTCTGTCGCCTCACAGCAAGAAGGTTGCTGTAGTCCTGGCTCTGCCAGTTGGCATTTCTTTGTGGAGTTTGCATGTTTTCGTAGTGTATGGGTGTATATGGGTGTTTCCTAGAAGGTCATCCGCTGTGTAAATCATATGCTGGATAAGTTGGTGGTTCCTTCCACTATGGCGACCCCTGATTAATAAAGGGACTAAGCCAAAGGAAAACGAATTAATGAGTTAGCGGTTCATTCCTCTGTGGCGACCTCTGATAAAATCAGAGACTAAGCCGAAGGAGAACGAATGAATGAGTTTCAGAACATTTGTGGAATGTGGAATGTTTTTAATGTTTTTAAAGTGATATTTTTTTTATTTTAATGTTTGACCTTAGTTGTGCATGTCATTTGAATATTTTACATTTCCAAGTGTTATGTGAAGCACTTTGGTCATTTCACCTTGCAGTTAAATGTGCTGCATAAATATATAAAGAAGTTGAAGCTGAACATTTGATTTTGAACAGTTTTAGATTCATTTCGCTTGATTCTTGTGAAGCATTAGCAACTCTGTTAGATAAAATATAGAAGGGGGAGTGTTAGTGTTAGAAGGCCATTTTAATTTTGCATTTATTTATTTTTTTAAAGAGGAAATAGAAAATATAATAAAAAATAGATTATTGCTGTCAGAAGATCAGAGCCTTTTTTATATAAATAGATATAAAAAGTGAATGGAGATGAGATGAGAATAAAAAGAAGACATTATATTTAAAAATATATATAGTATACGGTGTAAGTGAAGTGTTAGATGGTAAAACCAATTAAAAAAATATTTAATATATTTCAAATATATTTCTATTTGATAGGTAGTAGTAGTGTTATAGGAAGTTCACTGATATAATAAAATCAGATGTATTTTCAAATGAATATTAATGTCTTATGGTAATTTTTATGGCCCTTATTACAGTAAAAACCTCAAACACAAACCTCAAGTCTTTATTTCTTCTTGTTCCAGGGTGTGTTGTGTCCCACAGGTTGTGAGTTGAAGAAAGCCCTCATAAAACAGGAACGTAATGTAAAGCCAACTGTAGAGCAGCTGAAAAGAGCTGTGGACGACTTGACTCAATCCACCAACTCCATCCACGGCTACGTCCTCGATATGACCGCAGAAGTAGCTCAAAGACAAAAAGTCAGCGAGGGTAACTACACTTCAGAAAGTTTTGTTTATATGATATTTGTTTTAAAGTAATAGTTGTCTAATGACTTGCCTAATTATGACTGATTACTATAGTATCTTTTCAAATATCTAGTAAAAAATTCTGTACTGACTGTCATCATGGCCGAGAAAAAAGAAATGAGTTATAGGAAATGAGTTATTAAAGCTATTATGTTTAAAAAGGACTTTTAAAAAGAATGAAAAGTTCACAGGAGGTCTAATAATTTCATTGCATGTCGAGTAAATTAATAAAAGTATAAGCATCCGCCTGACTAATACTGGTAGGCAACCTATTTTTTATATTTAATAGACATTCTCGACTATTAAAAATACCCACAAGTAATGGTTTATGTTCTTTCACAGGCAATGGACTTGTGGTTGATCAGTACACAGACAGCTTAGAAACCCAGCATGCTTATATTAAGGACACGGTGGACGTCACCTTCCCCCAGAACATTAAAGTCCTTCAGGGAGTGCTGGATAAGATCCGTGAGAAGATCCAGCGCTTGGAGAAAGCCATCACTACTCAGAGAGCCAAGTGCCAAGCGCCCTGTAAAGTCACCTGCCCCATTCCTGTTGTGTCCGGCAAGGAGTGCGAAGACATCATCCGCAAAGGAGGAGAGGACTCGCAGATGTACATCATACGGCCTGATCCGCTTGGAACGCCTTACAAGGTCTTCTGCGATCAGACCAGTAAAAATGGAGGTATGGCAACTTTGGCCTTGTCTACTCTATTACATTTTACAGTTACCCTAGACACAGCTTTTTCTGTAAACACACACAAAAAAAAAATCCATGTGGATATATTTGAAACTCACATAGAAATCTGATATATGCAAATTATTATGCAAAAACTGTTTACTAATTACAAATATGTGCATATATGTTAAATTATATTAGCTATAATTTTATATATCGGTTCATATATGGAGGTATATGAACATATATGAGCATATAATTATTGCTTATTTATTTTAACATACATTATTAATACTTTCCTGTATAATCTACAGTAACTTACTGGCAGCAGTTCGCCCATAACGTACTGTAAATCAATTACAGCAAAAATACTGTATTTACATTTACAGCGCCATCTATCTTGCTGTATATGTATTTACAGTATTGTATATATTGTTACTGTAAAATGTACAGTAGTTTTTGCAATGAAACTTTAAAATACAGTAACATATTGCATTACTGTCCTACAGTAAATTAGTTCATATTACAGTTAAATACTGTGTACAAAAACAAGAAGAGTGTATGAATACATATTTGTAGTTCTGATGATTAAACGCTATATTTATACAAATGGCCATGTTTGAAATATACTGTACACTCACCAGCCACTTTATTAGGTACATTTTACTAGTACATTTTTACTAGATTTTGGTCCATATTGACATGATAGCATCACGCAGCTTGAACCAGTCTGGCCATTCTCCTCTGACCTCTTGCGTCAGCAAGGCATTTGCGCCCACAGAGCTGCCGCTCACTGGATATTTTTTCTTCTTTGGATTATTCTCTGTAAACCCTAAAGATGGTTGTGCGTGAAAATCTCAGTAGATCAGCAGTTTTCGAAATATTCAGACCAGCCTGTCTGGCACCAACAACCATGACACTTTCAAAGTGATTTAAATCTTCCCCATTCTGTTTTGAAAACGATGATTATTTGTCATGTGACTTTTTTTCCAGCCATAATCATAAACGTCTGCAATATTCTATAGGTTGGGTGCTCATCCAGAACCGTATGGACGGCAGTGTTGATTTTGGCAGGCGTTGGGACGACTACCGAAGAGGCTTTGGAAACATTGCATTTGATGTGGGCAAAGGCCACTGCCAGACTCCAGGTGAGCTACAGTTAAACAGGGATAAGTTGGGATTCTGCATAAGTTAGAGATGTAGGACTCCGATTTTACTGATAAGTAGCCTAAAAAATATCAAAAGTATGTAGTTTAAAAATGTAAAACAGCAATCTACATTGTATGTTCATCAAAAAAGACTAATATATATGTTATGTTTTGGTGTGAAGCAGGCCTTTTAAGACTCTGTTTATACATTTTATTTAGATGTGTTTTGTTCTATAGAGAAACACGCTCTTGTTTACACTAAGTGTGTTTTTTTTTTCACTTTTGGCCATGTTACAGGTTATTCTTTATGGGAGAGTAATACAGTTGAAGGCAAAATTATAAGGATTTTAAATTATATGAATGTTTTTATTGTTTTTTAAATATTCTTATGTTTAATAGAGCAAGGGATTTTTTTTCCTGTGCAAAAAGTCTTATTTTGGCTGGAATAAAAGCAGTTAAAACTGTATTCAAGTTTATTTTATTTAAAATCAACGCTATTATCCCCATTAAGAAATCATTTTTTCAATTGGCTACAGAACAAACCACTGTTGTCCGATGACTTGCCTAACTAAATTGTACTTTAAGCTGAATAACAGTATCATGCAAAATAACTAGCAAAATATTATGTTGTGTTATAATGGCAAAGACAAAAATTCATTAATTATTAAACTATTTAATTATTAAAATCACAGGATAATACAAATAATAAGATAATACAAAAAATATATTTCCCTTCAACTGTATGTCAAAAGTGGACAATCACAGAACAATTTAGACCCCTTTTCTAAATGTATTTAGTTTTTTATATTTAGTATTGTAAATAGTATTGTATCACTGAATCAGCGAAGCATCTTTTAATACCAGTTGTAAACGCTTTTATTTTTGTTAATCCTTTTATTTAAGACTCTGAGGTCCATGTCCAAAACCATAACAAATCACAAAATACAAAAAACATACAATACAATACAATACAATAATGAATATACATATTATAACACCATTACTTTCCCAGTGTTGGGTTGCGGCTGGAAGGGCATCCGCTGCATAAAACATGTGCTGGATAAGTTGTCGGTTCATTCCACTGTGGCCACCCCAGTTTAATAAAGGGACTAAACCGAAAAGAAAATGAATGAATGAATGACAACACAATTACACAACTCCATTACTGTAAAATGGTCAAAAGTGTACATGTTTCAGACTCTGTTTACCCCTGTGTTGTCCACTAGTATATTCAGATTGACAATACCAAATGTAAACAAAGCTAAACCAATTTTAAGAAATGGAGTAAACCTGCTAGACTACCAAAGAAATGGTGATAAAAAATACTCAGGGTTCATGATTTCTCTTAGATTCGCTCAAATCATCTCATTCCCTAATGAATTTTTTTTGTGGTCTCTTTTAGGCGAGTACTGGCTGGGCAATGACCGTATTAGTCAACTTTCAAAGATGGGTGCCACTGAGCTTCTGGTGGAGATGGAGGACTGGTCCGGCTCAAAAGTCTATGCTCAGTATGAGCAGTTCAGCATGCAGGGCGAAGCCTCCAACTACATCCTAGGAGTCGGACGGTACTCAGGAACGGCTGGAAATACATTCCTGGAAGGCGCAACAGAGCTGTTTGGAGAGAATCGTACCATGACCATCCACAACGGCATGATGTTCAGCACATACGACAGGGATAATGACAAATGGTGCGTTTCGTCCAAATCATTTGCATGCATGGAAAAGCTACTGAAAAGATTACATATGCAGTTTGGTCACATTTTACAATAAGGTTTTATTAGTTCATGTATTTACTAACATGAACTAATAAAGAATGATGCGTGTAGAGCATCTATTCATGATAGTTCAACATTTACTAATGCGTTATTAACATCCAAATTCATGCTTGTTAACATTAGCTATTTGCTAATGATGATGATGATAAGGATTTTCATTAACTAACATGAACAGATACTTTATTAAATATATTGTTCATTGTTTGTTCATGTTAGTAAATGGATTAACTAACATTAAATAATACGACCTTATTGTAAAGTGTCCACTTACTTAAAATGAGCTGAAACAACACAAGTCTTGAGTTTTTGGGGGGGACAGCTTAATTGTTTTATGTTTAACTCACTTAAAATTCTAAAAACTAATAAGCTAACCTAATTCCTTCATGTTGTCTAAACAAAAATCGATTGTGTGGAACTCAGCATTGTTTACAGTGGACTATCTAAAATGTTTTCTCTAATGACAAGTGGTATGTGTGCTTCTAATAATTAGCATTAATAAAAAGCTGCACAGTATCTAACCAACACAATCTCACGGCGATTCGTAACTTTTTTCATTTAGTGGCTAATTCGTATGAATTCATACGATCTAATTCGTACAATTTAGTACGATTTGCTTATCCTTCAATGACGGTTGGGGTTAGGGGTGGGGTCAGGTGCCACGCCTCCTTTTTAAAATCGTACCATTTTGTACGACTGAACTCGTACGAATTCATACGAATTAGCCACTAAACTGGCAAAACGCAAAATACGTTTTCTCGTGAGATCAGGCTGTATCTAACATGTTATCTCTTTCTTCATTTGTGTTAATCACATTCAGGATTCCTGGAGATCCTTCTAAACAGTGCTCTAAAGAAGATGGCGGTGGATGGTGGTACAACAGATGCCACTCTTGTAATCCTAACGGGCGATACTATTGGGGAGGAGCTTATACTAAATACATGGCCAAGCACGGGACAGATGACGGCATCGTGTGGATGAACTGGAAGGGCTCGTGGTATTCGCTCAAAACGATCAGCATGAAGATTAGGCCGTACTTCAAACAGAAATAAAACTTCATGTGAAATGAAATGCGTGTCGTTTCCTGCAGCATCTCATTTCATATAGGCTATTTTTTTTAAATAAAGCGGAGGATAGTAAAGCCTGCATAAAAGAGTGTGAATACATTGGAAAAGTGCATTGGATACATTGTGTTATTGGACATGTTAAAGTACTGTATGTAAAGGCAAAATGATGGAAATGAGATGGAAACAGTTCTCCTGGTTCTCATTAAAGCTGACCAACAAACAACAAAACTTTGTCTATTGTATTTATGAACGTTTTGTAATGTTTTAGAAAATAAACATGCTTAAAACACTTTTTTATAGTCTCACACTTTTATATACATGAATGAACATCACAGGTTGAGTGAATTCTGTCTTATATTAATGAGTATTTAAATATATAAATTAAAAACGGGGACTTATTACTAAGGCTGAATTGAATGTCTCCCAAACATTTGTAAATAATACTTTCATCCATTTATTTATTTACAGTGCAAGTTACATAATAAAAGCATTTCTAACGAGTAAAGCAAATGAGTAAAGTGAATAATTAAGTAATAATATTTAATGCAAGTAACTAGAGCCAGACCCTTACTGTCAGAATCACAAGCAATCTAATCTGTCACTGAACTGGACTACAAATACTATAATGCACCTCACACACCAGTTCCTGATTCCGCTGATTACTCGCACACAGCTGGAAGCTCATGATTAACTGATTACCAGTACTATAAATGCACCCAACTCACGCTTACATTTTGCAGTCGCATTGTGAAGCTTTTTCCTTGTTTTGTCTTTTTGTGCCATGTTTCCTGACCCTTGCTTTGTGTATTGTTTATGCTATTTTCCTCCTGGAGCGATCACTTTGCCTGTGACCTGACTGCTCTTTTGTACCCTTTATGTTAAAGGTTTGCCCTTGCTTGTGACCATTGCCTGCAGTATTACTCTTGTTAATGAAAACACTGCATTTGTATCCTTAACTCTGCTGCCAGTTTCGTATGTTACACATATATTTTGGCGATGAACATATTCTCTTTATTTTGAACGCATCAAAGTAAAGTAAAAATGGATTGTCTCAATGCACAGTGATTTTACTTGACTAATAAGACAAAAAGTACAAAAACCCATTGCTTTAAATATGGGGTCAGGAAGTTCTTAGAAGATAACATTATCTTACATTACTATTTTTTTATGTGTTTTTTTTAAGGAAAATGAAGGCATAGGTTATACAGTACATTGTAAATGTAGTGCTTAGTTAAAAAATAATAAAAATAAACATATATAACTCAATATTGTAATGCGTTACTTTCTAAAGGAACTTTCCACAACCCTGTTTATTTATTTACAAACTTCGGTCTGGAATGTGCCCAATAAAAATATGTTGCTCAGAGGATATATTTACCTCGATTATTCTTGGTAATACTTGAAATATTAAATAAATACTTTATTTCAGAGGCAAACTTGTTTGTTGTTTTGAAAATAGTTTAAATCATACACTTACCCAAAATAAAACAGTGAAATTAAAGTAGAAAAAAATATGATATCTGTGAATATATGATATATTTAAGCCCCCAAGATCTTAAAAGTTACACATTAACACACATATGCATAATAGAGATATGTTATATTGGGACAGAAATCATTGTAAAATAGACACTAATTTATTTGGAGCCAGACTGTTGTGTGGTTTCGCAGTGCTCTTAAATAAGAAAAAGAAAGCTGGCAGATAATTTACTCACTCAGGCCAACCAATTTAGGTGACCATGTTCTTCAGTAGTACATAAATTATATTTTTTTGGTAAAACTGTCAGCCTTTGTCATTCATAAAATGGCCTACAGGCCAAACAAAGTGAATACCCTGTGACGCCTGACAATACATTAAGGTCTTATAAAGTCTTGAGTGAGAAATTAAATTTTTGCAGCAGTATATGCAAATCAGTGTAAAGTTTGCTGCTCTACAAGTTGGTAAATAAAACTAAATGTGTTATGCTTCTGTTTAAGGAGATACTGGGCTATTCTTTATCAAGAATCGACCCAAATAAACTTTTTCATCTAGGACTACCATAGCGAGTCATTTTAAGACAAAAATCCATTTTGGAAAATTGATTCATGATGTCAATCCATCATTCATTTTCGGCTTATTCTCTTTATTATTAAGGGGTCACCACAGCGGAATGAACTGCCAACTTATCCAGTAGATGTTTTTACTCAGCGGATGCCCTTCAAGTCGCAACCCATCTCTGGGTAGCACTACCTACTGCGCCATTCCGTCGCCCTTTCATGATGTCATTCATTCATTCATTTTCTATTCAGCTTAGTCCCTTTATTAATCCAGGGTCGCACAGTGGAATGAACCGCCAGCTTATCCAACATATGTTTTACGCAGCGGATGCCTTTCAAGCTGCAATTTTTAGGGAAACAAGAGCACTCGGAGGAAACCCTCGCAAACACGAGGAGAACATACAAACTCCACTTTCTCGTGCTGCCCCATTCATGATGTCTTGCTCTTTAAATTAATTTTGTTTACATTTAAAAGTTTCATATAGCGTAGCTTCAGTTGAAATGATATAAAAGGAGAACCTTCAGTTACAAACACATCCCACAGTTTTGAAATATTTTATTGAGGTATACAAGGTCTTTGGCAGTTTTTTCAGTGTTTCACTAATATAACAAAAACATACTATATTAGTTTATATTCTATCACTCTGGAATACTGGAGTTAAGATGCATAAAAAAACTGCATCTGTAAATGTGATTAAATGTCATGTTTAAATAAATATGTATATAGATAGCAAAGACTTTATAAAATAAAGCAACCCAGGCTCATTCTGAAAACGTACCACTACATACATTTCTGGAAAGCGCCAAATACATCCCAGGAGGTTTGTTTTTGTGCAGTTTTTATTTTCGCGAATCCAACAAAGGCCGCTGTGTACACTTTGTCAGATCTCAAGTTTCTCTTGTGAGTGCCATTCACGCCTGCTTTTCTTATGTAAATCCACCAGAGGCCGCTGTCAACTAACTGAATGACTGACTGACCCACTCTCCTCCTTCCCTAAACCCTAAACTGATAGGCTGTGTAAAAAAAAAGCCTACTACTCAGTAGGTACTAGACTTGAATTTAAATGAACTACTCAGCCAGAAACGTACGTTCTATAGCAGGGGTCACCAATCTCGGTCCAGGAGGGCTGGTGTCCCTGCAGGGTTTAGCTCAAACTCGTCTCAAAACACCTGTCTGGATGTTTCTATTATACCTAGTAAGACCTTGATTAGCTTGTTCAGGTGTGTTTGTTTAGGGTTGGAGCCAAAATCTGCAGGACACCGGCCCTCCAGGAACAAGTTTGGTGACCCCTGTTCTATACAGTATGAAAGTCAGTAGGATAAATGGAGCTCAGTGACCCATCTGTTGCGTCGCTTTACTCCCATTCATGAATTCTCTCGTGGTGCATCATGAGATAGCGTAACATCCATCCGATGCAATACTACTTGGCTCGCATACTGTTTTTAGCATACTATATAGTATGGAAAGTATACGATTTTGAATGCAGCCATGGTGTTTTTAAAACCTTTTACCATATTCTCACCCTGTAATTTGCTTGTTTATTTTATTTTTTACCTTTTGTTTTTGTTTTACCTGTTTCACGATCAACTCCGCTCCACCTAACAAGTCTGCCAATGTACGCAGCGAGGTACTGGGCAAACTGGTAACAACGTAAAAGTCGTCCATAGAGAGGTAAACGGTCAGCTGGCAAGCAGAAAAAAAACGACGTCACACCACCCCATAGCATTCGTTTTAAAGACGTCATACGTACCTCTGGCTACATAATTCATGATCTCCAGAAATGTTTGTTGGGCTGTGTTTTCATAATGAGCCTATGTTGGAATAAAGTGAAGTATGTGAGTATACTGCACTCTATATACCACGTAGGGTAAAAAATCTCTTATACTTGTCTATATAGTGGTTAATATTTGAAGTGGATTAAAAATAGTTTATCAAAATTGTCCTAAGACAAGAATTGGTGTTGTTCAATAGATGTAGGACAACTTTAATGAAAGGTTTTGCTCCACTTCACTCACTGATGGACATAAATATGATTAAATATCTTCTAGGAGTTCATCTAAAACCATCTGATTCTGCTCAATGTCTTCAAACTTTGTAAGGAGCTCAGTGCGAAAAATGGGGATTTTCCTGTAAGTTTGAGACACTGTGGGCCGATCAACCGGCTGAAGTTTTAGTTTTTGAGGTCTGGAGAATGCTTTTCGCCTCTTGGAGATAATGCTGAACTGCTTCATTTTGCTCTCCATCGCTTTGTAGGCTTCGTTATCAATAGCATGGACAAAGGTTTGCTTGCATGATCCTTTGCATGCACGAATTTTGATGTCAATGTCCACCTGAAATTAAACAAAAACAAGTCTGAATCAGGGCAAAAGTTATATTTCAACTCAAAACAAACAGTGAAATCCCTGACTTGACTTTTTTGGGGAACATTTGATCAAATATATTGATTATGTGTGGTTGTGTGTGGAGTGTGGTGGACTTCGAGTGTTAACTTTGAGTGTGTATAAGCTTAGAAAGGTTTAAAACCACTAACATCAAGTCATACCTCAATTCGACGGAGTTGATTTATCTGATCCCAGATCATGTAGTGATATTTCCGTAAGTCTTTAGCAAGTTCTGCAGACCTCTTGTGCAGGAACGTGAGGTTTTTGTGAATATCTTCAGCAAATTCAGCATATCTGAGCTCTTGCACTGTAAAGAAAATACTATCAGACATCTGGGAAGAAATCCATTTTGTATTTATATCACTAAATTTTAGGAATTAGACATGTAAGCAAATAAAAAAAACAGCAGCCATAATATTTAACGTACTATAAGTTTGGACGATAGTTTTCCTTTGACACTCATAAAACTTGACACTCTTTTGCATCACTAATGAAATGGCATCCTGATGTTGTTGAATCTTTTCACAAGTCTTTCTCAGACGTTTATAAATATCTTCATCTGCCACAATAATAAGACCCTCCAGTCGACACCCAGATGGACATTTATCCTCCTGCAGAAAAACAAATACATCATTTGTGAAAATACATTAGTCATTTATCAAAATTGCATGACAAAGCCCCCTTGAAAAATGGCATCCACTTCGGAAAGTGCCTGTTATATTAGTATAAAAACTGTCTGGAATTTGCTTAAGTTAAAAACATATTAAACATCTTAAAATATGCTTTTATTTAGATTTATTTTTAATTTACATTTGAAGGTTTAATTATATAGGAAAAAACACACTTTTTTAAAGATAAGCGATCTGATTTTCCGAACTCACTCACCATCTCCTCATCAGAGCACAAAGGGTATGTTGGTCGTGCTGGACACTGTCCAGATCTGCTGTAATCATAGTGAATATGTTGTTTCTGACTGGATTTCAAGGCTGTACACACTGCAACACACCAAACACACTAGCATTAAACTTTGTGTGATATATTGTATCATTGACAGGTCATGGCTAATATGCAAATAGTGATTTATAGCAGTAGTTTTTGTGAGTCAACAAACAAAGTAGCTTGAATAAATGAAACTAAGTTACGTTTTAACCAAGTCATGCATAATTATACACAGCAAAAAATGCTTTTCTTGCTTGGGTTTTTTGTCTTGTTTCAAGTCCAAATATCTAAAATTTCTCATATCAAGAAGCATTTTAAGCAAAATATATTGTCTTGTTTTGAGAAATAATATGCCAATATTAAGTGAGTTTTTCCTTAAAACAAGCAAAATAATCTGCCAATGGGGTAAAAAAAAAATTATCTTGTTTTTTCTTTTGACGTAAGATTATTTTGCTTATCCCATTGGCAGATTATTTTGCTTGTTTTAAGGAAAAACTCACTTAATATTGACATATTATTTCTCAAAACAAGACAATATGTTTTGCTTGTCTAGAAAATTCTTCTTGATTTAGGAATTTTTAGATATTTGGACTAGAAACAAGACAAAAAATTTAAGCAAGAAAAGCATTTTTTGCAGTGTAGTCTCATTTTAAATTTAATTAATATAATAAACGTTTTTGAAATGACTTTTTTTATTCATTAACTCTTGGTGAAGATGGTAATGGTGTTCTGTCAGGGAATAAAATGTACCATCAGAGACACAATTTGTGAATAAAGCAGTACTCACTTACACTCATTGTTTTTTTTTTTTTTTTTTTTTTTGCTGCTTGTTCAAACTACCAATTAAAAATGAGCTGAAACAACAAAATTTTGGAGATTTTGGTGGAACCTACTTGTTTTCTGTTTAATCAACTTAAATTAGTTACATTAACTTAATGGATTTGTGTTTGGGCGACATAAGTTGTATTGTATGGTACCCTGCATTGTTTTCAGTGTGTCTACCCCTAAAAAGTGTTTTAAATATTTGGCCTTTATGCACTATTAAGGTTTCATTATGAAGCATTGATGGTTTTGGTGAAAAGCTGTTGAACCCCTGATGGTGCAATTTTAGGGGGTGGATTTTTGTGAGAAAGACTAAAATGAGCTTTATCAACTGAAAACTTAAAGCGATAGTTCACCACCCCCTCCAAATACTCACTATTCACTCTCAAGTGGCTTTCTGAGTTTTTTTTTCTTGTCGAACCTAAAATAAGCTGAACACCAATAACCAATGACTTCCATATGAAAAATGTATACTATTTCCTATAATAAAAACTCTCTTCAGAAAATCTTCTTTTTGTGTTCGACAGAAGATTTTCAAAAATGAATGGTGAGTAAATGATGATAGAATTGTAATTTTTTGTGTGAACTATCCCCTTAAAGAAAACCAAAATGATCTGAACACATTGTGCTTTTGTGGTTACAACTTGTCTGTAGATCGTCCAGAAAATGATTCTGAAAGCAGACCTTTTTAAATAAAAACACACTCCAGAACTTAAAGTGAACACATCTTTATTGGAAACATGAGGTAATCTGGTTGTGTAAAAATGTATGTTGCATCATCATTGTATTACGTTCAACACAAGCAGAATATTAATCATACAGCTCATTCAAAACAACAGATATCCATCCTTTTTCCCCTAATCCCCTCTTTATGTTTTCATTTCAGACAGGTCTGATCTTCATTCTCACCACTTTGAGGGAGTAATCAGCTGGTTTGAAAGGCAGCCACACGACACCATTCTCAATCTCATAGGGGACTTTGGTAGCCGGGTCATACTGGCCTCCTTTATAGTAAATGCCATTGAGGTTGGCTGACTGGCAGTTATTATACCACCACCCTCCACCATACATCTCTGCACAGTTTTCCTCCCACTTATCACTGTCCCTATCAAAGGTGCTAAACTTCATGCCAGCATGTGAAAGGAAGGATCCAAGGTTGGGATGTCCTCTCACTAACGCATCTCCTGCATCCCCATCATAATCGGATGCAGTCAGCGGGAAACCTTCAGCCTCCGAGCCAACTTTAATGTTGTACTCAGCGTAGGCCTCAGCTCCAGTCCAGTCCTGCAGCTCCACCCTCAGAAGACTTTCTTTCTGAGTGAGAAGGTGCAGGAATTTGTTGCCAATCCAGATCTCGCCCTTACCCTGCTTGTCTATCTGTCCGAAACCATTTAGATACTCCTTCCAAGTGCGGTTGAAGTTAACAGACCCGTCCTCCCGCTGTTGAACCAGAGTCCATCCCCCCAACCCAGTGCTCTGGTCACAGTAAACCTCTACTACCTCCTCAGACCCCGCTGGTTTTATTTTGAACATCCCGCTCTGACCGCCGTTCACATGCTTCTGCTGGATTTCAACGCAATCTGAAAGAAGATTACACACCTGCCGATTAGAGCAAAACTGCATTGCAAATTCATTCCAGAGATCCAAACAATTGCTTCTTGGTGAGTATTAATAAATGTGATGGATTGGTATTTACTTAGATATCAGTTAGTCCACATGTTTCCAACAAACTCTTGTTAATAGTGTTATCATTATGTTTATCAATGGTTCACTTGTGTTAAGAGTTTCACTCGAGTGTACCTCCGCCAACAAAGCCAGCCTTGCGATCGTCTTGCGATTTCACACTGCGTGCATGGATGTCGGGCATATCTTCTTCCACGTCGCCCCGCATGAACGCCCCGAGGTCATCCCCAAAAATAGGGTCGCTAGTGAGGGTGGTCTTTGAGTAACTTTTGCTTCCATCTGACACTGTCTTTGTGGATGTTGAGGATGAAGATGAGGCATACTTTCGGTTGTCAGTGCCAAGATTCTTAAAGAAGTCTCCTCCGAAGCCACCCAGATCAGAAGTGCTGTGGCTTAGAGAAGTGAGGGACTTTTCATCACCGCCGGTCACTGTTATTTTCAAGCCATCGCGACTCAAATCTTTCCCATCTTTGGCTGCCGTCAAAAACTCTGAATCTGAAATTCCTAGTTTTCCTAAATCATCACACCCGGGCCCGCTAGACGAAACTTCAACCTTTTCCACGGGGCCATCTTTGGTGTGTGTTATCACTTTGCGAACTGATTTGGTGCACTGCTTGCTGGAGGTTTGTGATGTGGAGCCCGTACCTGATGTGGGAAACTTGCTAACTGTGGCGGCAGATTCGGCAGTGGAGCCTTCAGCTTCCAGAGAGAGCTGCATCTGGCCTACATCTCCAAAAAGCAGCTTCTGCTCAGCTTTGCCCGTTCCGCTCTTATAAATGGTGGGCACCAACACATCCTTCAACGGCCTGCTCTTCATGATTCCCAAGGAACTGACAGTCTCCACGCTCTGTACACGCATGGCGTTCAGATTGTCCATTTGCTTGTCCAAAGTCACATAGCTTTCCCTGTCCACCGAGAACTCGCTGTAGCTGGCACAAGAGCCTTTGCATGTGCGTAGTTTGATGTCAATGTCAACCTGTGGTAGGAGATAATATTGGAAAAGTTTACTTAATGATGCCGTTGTTTCCAGAAATCAGTGTAGAGATCAAATTTCACATAAACCAAGACTCCGTTTTAGCTAAAACTTGGTTAAGACTTATGATAGTTCAACCAAAACCTGTTTGAGTTTCTTTCTACTGTTGAACACAAAAGAAGATACACTAAAGAAAGCTGTATACCTGAAACCATTGACATCTATCATATGAAAAACAAACAATTGTACCCATTGACTATAGTATTTGTTTTTCATATAGATGTGAATGGTTTCAGGTTTACAGCTTTTTTCAAAGTCTCATCGTTTGTGTTCAACAGAAGAAAGAAACTCGTAACCCGGGTGGATAAATAATAAGTAAATTGTCATCTTCATGGTGAAATGTTTCTTTAAATATTTTGCTCACCTCAAGCCGCTGCATTACAACAACTTGATCTTTGACCTGCGACTTCAGAGCGTCCAGAAGTCGAAGTTGGCGGTCAATTTTAATCTTGATATCAGTAATCCTCTGCCTCAGTTGTTCGGCCAGAGACATATACCTGTTATCATAACCTGAGGAGAAGAAAAATGAGGATTTGTAGTGTGTTTTACAAATTACGGAGACCCGGAAGGGAAGTGATGGTGGGGGAAAATAATGGATGTGATAAAAAAAGAGTGTTGGAAAATTTATATATATAGATTTAAAGTTTTTGCGTTCCCTTGTTGCTGACAAACACTTCTTGTTCACTTCATACATGTCAACCCTCCCATTTTTGCCACGATTCTCCAGTATTTTACCATTCTATCCCGCTATCATCCTATCATTAAGTATTTTCCCATATTTCTCCCATATTTTTGATCTTGAAAGCATGTTAAAAATAATATAAAAATGCCTGCATTCACTTTCTTTCTATTAAAGCTGTGCGTCGATCGTAGCCCTTCATATGCTACCTCTGAATCAGCGAATGCATGTATAAGCACTGACTAACGGAAGCACTATATGATAAACTGATCCCAGATCACCTTTTGTACACGGCATTTAAAAAGGAGCTAAAGTGCAGGACACTTTGGGATTCGGTTGTGTGTTTAAACAGACAAATAACCTTAATATGTAAACATGTCCGTCCTGCATGTTTTTATTTCTAAACACAACTAATTTTCTCCTAAATGAGCACAAACAGTTACTGAAGTAATCGAATGCCGTCATTATAGATCTGTGCAATCTTAAAATGACACCTCGGTTATCAAACAAAACCAAACTAGATTCATTTGCTGCTCTTCACTTGTTTGATAACAGAGGTGTCACTTTAAATGGCGTGTACAGAAGTTGATCTGGGATCAAAACAAAATAAAAATCCCAGTTCCACTCTCACCATTACGTTTCTTCCGGGTCTCCGTAACAAATGAACTTAATCATGGACAAAAATGATCACAACTGAACCAAAGCAAATCCTTACCACTGTTAGAGGTCAGTTTCTCTCTCAGGTAAGTATAGGTGGTTTTGGACACTTCATCGGCAGAGCGATATAGTTTCTGGCCCTCCACCAGGAGACGTCGAATCTTCTCAATCTTCTTGAGGAGATCATGGTCAGCTTTGTCCATGAGGCCTTGAACTCGGCAGCCAGATGGACATTTGCTTCCCTATATTGAGGATTGAAAGAAACATTTACTGCAACAAATTTGTTGATAGAGATTTTTGTGTTTTGTCTAATTATTGAGTCAATATTTATGACTTATATAATATATAGTAATAGGTAGTATATGAAGACTTCTAAATGCCGTCTGAAATTTTTTATCCAGCCAACTCGAATGTTTTACACTCAATTGTATGGGCGTAATCAGTGGTTATCAGCTGACAGATATGGGCCAGTAGGGGTCCTCTGCGCATATAGGCTTAGAAGGCTGTTATCATTCATCCACATGATGGTGGATGGATGGAATGAACGAAGTGAAGAAAAACAGTGAGAAACCCATACCCAGTCATCATCGGTACACCCTGGCCATTCTTTTGTCTGGCAGGTGTCTTGTGCCTTGAAGCCGTGCTCAATAGGACGAGCGCCTCTAGGGTTCACCACTGTGTCCTCCTCGGCCTAAAAAGTAAGTACTTTATAACTACTTAGGTCTGCCAACATAGGCCATTTTAACATACAGTGCTCAGCAAATAAGTACACCCTTTTGAAAACTACTATTTTATCCATTTCTCAGTGAATGTAGTCAAGAAAATACATTTAAATTGAAACATGTCATTCCAACAAAATTTGATCTTTTTTATTATTCTATTGATTTTTAATATTAATTAAAATTTTATAATTTTTTTTTTTATTAATTTTACTATATTTTAACTAATTTTTAGACTTTGATCTCACGATTTTTTTGTCAGATTAGTTCCAGTTTTGGCTTAAATAAATACTAATCTAATGTATATGCACAAATATATTATTGTAGAGCATCCTATACACTGTAAAAAAAAATATACAGTTGAAGTCAGAATTATTAGCCCCCTTTGAATTTTATTTTCTTTTTAAATATTTCCTAAATGATGTTTAACAGAGCGAGGAAATTTTCACAGTATGTCTGATAATATTTTCCTTCTAGAGAAAGTCTTATTTGTTTAATTTCAGCTAGAATAAAAGCTTTTTTTAAATTTTTAAAAACCATTTTAAGGTCAAAATTATTAGCCCCTTTAAGCTATATTTTTTTCCGATAGTCTACCGAACAAGCCATCATTATACAATAACTTGCCTAATTACCCTAACCTGCCTAGTTAACCTAATTAACCTAGTTAAGCCTTTGAATGTCACTTTAAGCTGTATAGAAGTTTCTTAAAAAATATCTAGTCAAATATTATTTACTGTCATCATGACAAAGATAAAATAAATCAGTTTTTAGCGATGAGTTATTAAAACTATTATGTTTAGAAATGTGTTGAAAAGATCTGCTCTCCGTTAAACAGAAATTGGGGAAAAAATAAACATGGGGTCTAATAATTCAGGGGGGCTAATAATTCTGGCTCCAACTGTATATATTGCTGCCTTCATTTTTTGTTGTTGAATTAAATTAACTTTTCTAATCATCACAACTTATATGCACTTATGTAAAGTTAAAATTGCATATCTTATGTACTTTGAAGTCCATTCATTTTGAGTTCTGTGATGTGTGTAGTCATTTATGCTGAGCACTGTACATATTATAAAATTAATTGGATTTAAAGTAAAATCACATATGCATAAATATAAAAATAACACATTAACACAATAAAAAATACTGATCTTTTTTTAAAAATAGAATGCATTATATCACTCACCAATGCAGAGGACACCGCCACGAACAGGCAGAGCAGTGAATGTGTGAACTTCATCTCCAGCCTCTCTGTGCAGAATACAGACTGTCTCTGCTCTCACATCACATATGAACCTTTGGGATTGATCAACACACTGACTCACTATTGACCATCGTTCTCTGCCCCCACAATCTGGAACAGACACCTTTCAGAAACAAATATGGAGAGAGAGAGAGAGAGAGAAAGAGAGAGAGAGAGATGCAAATTACACAACATTTAGCTATTATCAACTAGCTTACGGGAATGAGAATATAGGCTGTATGCTTGTACAAGAAGTGACGCTGACTGAAGACTAACTTTCAACTTTACTTTGGGGCCTATGAACAGATAAATGGAATATAATTCAATCAATCATTATTGCTTTATTAAAAAAATAATGATAATAATTTAAACATTGTTGTTGTTTTAATGAAGCTAAGGCTTTTATTTAACAATCAACTATCAAACGTTACATTACAAAAACTAGGTATAAAATAAATGCTGTTCATCTGAACTTAGGCTAATATATCACAACCAATATGTTGTTTCATTGCTTTTATTTCCCCTGCAAAGTATCTGGGGAAAATGTATCTTGGAATCCACATATAGCCCATTTAGCAGCACAACAGTTTTTAATGTTGATAAAAGTCTTTGAGCAGCAAAATGTATAAGAAAGCTTTCAGATTTTGTAAATAAATACAGGAGTAATGATGCTGAATTTTCAGCTTTGTATAACTGACATTCAATCATCTTCTTTTTGGCTTAGTCCCTTTATTAATCCAGGGTCGCCACAGCGGAATGAACTGCCAACTTATCCAGCACTGTATTTTTTAAGCAGCGGATGCCCTTGAAGCCACAACACATCCCTGGGAAACATCCACAAACACACTCATTCACACTTACACTCGACAGATAATTTAGCCAACCTAATTTACCTGTACTGCATGTCTTTGGACTGTGGGGGAAACCGGAGCCCCTGGAGGAAACCCACGCGAATGCAGGGAGAACATGCAAACTCCACACAGAAATGCCAACCGAGGCTCGAACCAGCGACCTTCTTGCTGTAAGGCGACAGCACTACCTGCTGCGCCACTGCGTCGCCCATAATTAACAGTATATATATATATATATATATATATATATATCAATAAAAATTTTAAATGCTGCCTTGGTGAACATTTTCAAAAACATTTTACTCAGCTTGTTAAGTGTTCAGTACATCACAGCAGGTTGTTTTACATTTAAACTTTATTTAGCAAATTTGGGTTGTGAACTAACCATTGCTTGTTTTCTGATTCAGAAGGGTTTCTTTACATAGGCTACATTTCGTATTTGCAAAGAGGATACATCATCATTACAATTTCCACATACAAAACATAATCAGCACATAAGGTAAGCACATAAGGTCATAGAAAGGTAGCAGAATGCACTCATGAGGATCAGTTCTGGGACTGCTCTTTTTAGTTACACAATCAATGTTTGTTTTAGGTTGTTGTGAATGTGGGTTTTAGCTCTCGTTGCACAATACAGATCACAGCTCGTCTGTTAATGAATCAATGAAAGCTCAACATTAGCATTAGCATTCACATATAGGCCTACACAGTGCATGTACAATAAGCATTCAACAAAGTAGAATCATCATTATGAATGTTTGATTTGGAAGGATAATTAAAAAAATAATTAGTGTCATTCAATTTATCTTGTTAGGCTACTTGTAATATTTCTGCACAATCTGATTTCTGAACAAGAAAATGTCTCTTTGTTTGTATCATTAATGGAGAAATATAACAGAATGAAAGATTGTGGGGGCAAAATTTTCCTTCTAAAATCAAACATTCAAAATGATGATTCTACTTTGTTGAATGCTTATTGTACATGCACTATGTAGGCCTATATGTGAATGCTAATGCTAATGTAAAGCTTTAAAAAAACAGGCATAAAATAAATGCTGTTCTTATGAACTTAGGCTGATATACCATGATCAATATATTGTTTCATAGTTTTTATTTCCCCTGCAAAGTATCTGGGGAAAATGTATCTTGGAATCCACATATAGCCATTTTAGCAGCACAACAGTTTTCAGTGTTGATAAAAGTCTTTGAGCAGCAAAATGTATTAGAAAGCCTTCAGATATTGTGAATAAATACTGGAGTAATGATGCTGAATTTTCAGCTTTGAATAATTGACATTCCCTTTATCAATCCAGGGTCACCACAGCGGACTAAACTGCCAACTTATCCAGCACTTTTTTTTAAGCAGTGGATGCCCTTCCAGCCACAACCCATCCCTGGGAAACATCCACATAAGCTTATATAAACTACATAAATTATAAATAAATACATAAGTTATTTAAATTACATAAGTTTACATGTTTCAGGCTATCAATTAGAAACATGTTGGCTATTGCAGAAATTGTCTGTGATAAAATTATACAATAAACTCGTATATTATTATTAGGTTGGATGACACAATGGCTCAGTGATTAGCACTGAGCACTCACTGGGTCAGTTGGCATTTCTGTGCATGTTCTCTCCGTGTTGGTGTGGGTTTCCTCCAGGTGCTTCGGTTTCCCTCACAGTCCAAAGACATGCACTAAAGGTGAAATTAATAAACTAAATTGGCCGTAGTGTATGAGTGTGAATGAGTATGTATGGATGCTGGAAGGGCATCCGCAGTGACAGTGTAAAACTTATGCTGGATAAGTTGGCGGTTCATTTTGCTGTGGCGACCCTTGATGAATGAATGGACTAAGCCAAAGAAAAAATGAATGAATGAATAATTATAACATTTCATAAAGGCTTTTAGGTCCTGTTACACTGAATAAGCTCTGTATATGTATTAATCATTGAATTGATTTTTTAATTGCATAACATTTGGAATATTTCAATCAGCAGGACTTAAAAGACAAAAATCAATAGGACAATAGTAGCTTAATTTAACACGGTCAGAACTAGTTTGATTTCATATAGGCTGTATTAAAAGATGTAAAGCAAAAATCAAAGTAGGCTTCGGAGATTGAATCACTAATATTTTGCCTTTTTTTCCTTCACAAAAGTTATTTAAAACATTAAAGTCGACACTTACCTCTCATATGAATACGGTTTGTATGTTTATAAAATCATATGGATTTGTACACTTCATTTAATCGCTCTACAAAAGCCCTGTATATGCCTATAGGAACTACGATAACACCTATTTGTCCTACACGGATGAAATTGCGTGTAGTACGCGAATGTACTTTAGACAGTCAAGTTTACTTGTAGTAAATACAATCGTCTCTTCGCAGAAATAATTATAATAATAATTTCAAGAATAAAAGCGTTCGGCGACCATGGCGAATCTCACGCGCGTGTCTGGGAGTTTGCATCGACTGACGGTGAAAGTTTGTTCAACCTCTCCGCTGCCTTTCTGCGGTTACAGTGTTTTATATCCACACAGTTTAAGTAACGTTAAATCTGCAACTGTCAGATGTTTTGCAAGAGACTCTCGTCACAGACACAATATTAGACATTACAGCTCTTCTGCACATAAAACTGTTCGTATTGGATGCGCGTCGGGGTTTTGGGGTGACACTGCAACGTCAGGTATTTATATTACATGCATTAATTTTATATGATTTGACATTGACGATGAGTTAAATTTTTCCTATGCACAACAGTTTTGACAACGACGTTTCTGCAATAAACAAGTGATTAAAACCATCTATATGTAGTTTTTCTTTTGAACGACCACTAGATGTCATTAAAGCATAAGCCTTTTCAAACTTTCCCGTTTGATTTTTAAGACAAATAACTTCAAATCAGGTAAATAATGTTGAAAAAAATCTAGTTGTTATCACCATTCTTCCCTACGACTTATTAAGTTAAAAATACTTTCCTTGTCACTCTATAATTCATAATATTACCAGCCAAATTAAATAATAATAACTTATGTAGAATAAATTGTAATAATAATACAACGAATTAATAAAATACAATGTCGTAACAAAAAGATTCAGAATACAGATATAAATAAAACTTTTAGGAAACCTTTTGTGATTATTAGTGCAGCTGAAGTGGAGATTTATGCATATATGTATATGTATGTATGTATATATATATACATATATATATATATATATATATATATATATATATATATATATATATATATATATATATATATATAAATAAAAAAATATATGTTATTTGCTACTGAAGTCTACAGACACATAGTAGATTAGATTAGATTCAACCTTATTGTTATTACTCATGCACAAGTACAAGGCAACGAAATGCTGCTTATGAGCATTTTATATATGTGCAGTGGATATGTACAATTCAAGATAAATTAGTGCAACGGAGTGCGATGAATATAGTGCAATTTTAATTGAACATTAAATTATATATTAAATAACGCAGTGTTTATTTAAGTGGATAGAGTGCCATAAAATAAACACTTAAAGGTGTATTTTGGATGTTTTCTTTCAATTAAACTGAAAAAGTACACCCCATTTGGAAAATGAATATATGTTTCCATATCTCAGTGAATATAGGCAATGTTTTTTGATGCATTTGAACAAAACAGATTTATTTAACACACATATTTATTAAAATAATATTTAAGTCACCAAACATATTTAGAAATAGAAGGATAATACAATTAAGTTCAAGCAAAATATTGCAAGTTTCAAAATTTCAGCTAAATCTTTACATTTTTTTTTCTTCTCTTGATTTTTCCTTTTTTTTAAATTTGTATTTAATATTTTTCTATAACATATAAATTTGGGTGTGCTAGTTTTTATACCATTATCTTAAGTTATTTTGTTAGATAAGCTCCGGATTTGGCTTCAGTACTGACTAATCTAACGTATATGCTGAAATATAATATTGTAAAGCTTCCTATTAAAAATCTGAATTTAAAAGAGAGAATTGTGAGGGGTGTACTTATATATGCTGAGCACTGTATTGTTCATAATCTTCGACTAACGTTCAACATAAAGTGTCCAAATTTTTGGAAAAACTAAAAAGTTTTGTTTGGAAAAGTATTTTTACGCAGTGTTTCTCAGTAATTATTAATTATTTTAATTTGATTAATTTTTACATTTTAAGTGTGCAGTACATGTCTGTTTGCTCCAGTATTTGTCTTATTAAATGTCTGTTCTGCGCAGTTCCTCAGCTCATATATGGTGGGAAGCTGGACTTTCTTGTGTTTGATTATTTGTCTGAAATCACCATGTCGCTGCTCTCAGCTGCCAAAGCTAAAGCACCAGTAAGTTGTTTCTCCATTTTACACTTATTGATACCTGATGTGACTATAAGACATGTCGAAATGATTTTTTTAAATGTATGAATATATCTTTAATTATTATGACTTGTGTGTGGATTGACACAAAGAATGCTGTTTTTCTTTCTTTCAGCAAATGGGATACGCTCCTGATTTTGTCCTTTCTCTTTCACCATTTATTAACGATATCAGCAAAAGAGGTAAAGCTGAAAGTTATGATAAGTATGTGACAGATTTTCACTGTCGCCCAGACTTTGCATATTTTTTAAATACCATGAATAATACTCATCTAAGCTGTTTTGTTATATTTTGTAAAAATATATAATATAATATAATATAATATAATATAATATAATATAATATAATATAATATAATATAATTAATATAATATAATTAATATAATATAATTAATATAATATAATATAATTATTATAATATAATATAATATAATATAATATAATATAATATAATAGTTTTACAGTCTTGCTTTTTAAATACCATCGATAATGTTCCTCACTGTTTAAATTCAGGAAAGCTTATAATATATTATAAATTACATAAATTAATTTTAATCACAATTTTTAATGGAGGTGGTTTTTATAGTTAGCATATTTTATTAACTTTCTATGCTATGTATCTAAGCAGTTTAGGTATATTTATAAAACCTATTATTCAAAAAAAGTTAATGATTTGCACTCAGTTGCATCGTACTGTTTTTTTTTCTTTCTCTTACATTTTACGGGTGATTAAAAGACAGACGTTTCAGCACAAAGCCTTACTTAGTGTGTGACACAATTCTCTCACTCCACCCTTTTATCCCATAGTCAATCACAATGTGCAATTAGTTAGACCGCCACTCTCATTTCATTATCCGTTAATCGCACAATAATATTATTACAATAATATAATATTTATAAAACCTGCAATATAATATATTACATAAAACAAAATCTGAATTTTATAATTACAAATTATCATGGAAATATTTTTTGATTAAAAATTTGTATACATTAGCCGAGGACTGTGATGCTCATCCTAGCAGTTTTTGGTACATTACTAAGGATAAACCTACAATACTACAGAATAAAGTAGAACACACAAAAATGCTTTTTTAAATACAATATTTTATGAAAACACCTAATATCAAGGATGATGTTTGTATTTAGTCATTTCAGAAACCTCATGACTCTGCTGTGATGCTCTGCAGGTATTCGTGTGGTCAGTAATGCTGGAGGTGTTAATCCTCTGGCCTGTGGAGCAGCTCTTCAAGAGGTTATTCAAAAGGCTGGACTTGACTTGAAGGTGGCTGTGGTTACTGGCGATGACCTGATGCCACAGGTACTTCAACTTTACTTGTACTAATGTGATGGCCATTTACTTAATGCTTCGTGAGAGTTGACATCCTGAGATCACACAAACAGCCAAATGTTACTCTTTTTACTTCAGTAACCCTGTGCTATTGGACATTTTCTTGGCTGACTGCTAATGCCAAAGATATACAGCACAATCCCATTAGCAGATGTGAAATTAATGCGTGATGCTACAGATTTACCACTAGGTGTCAGTAAAATTCAAGATGATATCTTATATTACATACAGTTGGTCAGAACTATTCAAGTAATACTCCAATTATTAGCCCTCTTGAATTATTAGCCCCCCACAACCCCGAAAATACCCCCCCTCCAGTTCTGTTTAATGGAGAGAAGATTTTTAACACATTTCTAAACCTTATAGTTTTAATAACAAATTTTTAATGACTAATAACTAATTTACAATTGACAGTACATATGTTTGATTCTGTCATGCCATTATAGAAACACAAATCCTCCAAGAAATGTTTTCAGCACTTTGTTGATACTCTACCTCAAAGAATAACACAGTTTGAAGTCAAAAGAAAGTCCAATTTTGGACTAAAATGGTGTACCTACAGTAACAAAGTGGCCAGTTGGGATAAAAAGGTACTTTCAGTCCTTTTTCTTTGCCATAATTCATATGGATTTGTTCGAATTCCTTAAAGAGACAGTTCACCCAAAAAGAAAGTCCTGTCATTATCTACTCGCCCTCCATTTATTTTAAATTAGTTTGAGTTTCTTTCTCTTCTGAGCACAAAAATTATATATATTGTTAAGGTTCGCAAAATTTATAAATCATAATCATATAAGTTATATAATTTAATTGAATTTAATTTGATTTAAATGTAATTACATTTAATTAAAATTTAATTTAATTTAATTTAATTAAAATTTAATTTAATTTAATTTAATTTAATTTAATTTAATTTAATTTAATTTAATTTAATTTAATTTAATTTAATTTTAGTTAGTCAGTTTAGTTTAGTTTATGATTTTTTTATCAAGTTGGTACTGAAGTCCCGGCAAGTCATTTCACTTAGTGGCCATCTTTGAAATGCCTCTCGGGTAATATGCTCGGGTTCTGTTTAAATGGGGAAACATCAAATTCTCTAAAATTGCTTGCCAAGCTTACAATCAAATTTCATATAGGTATCAACAATATAATTATTCTTTAAATTAAATCTTTAGTTTAATCTCTAAACGTTTGAATCACACAAATTCTGCAGAAGCTCACGTCTGGTCTGAGCGCCTCCCCTGGAGAATCGTCAGTCTGTAGCAATCAATGATTGTACTGTACTAGTAGGCGGAGCTTCATTCATCATAGTGACCGTTATACTTTTCCTGGTATAAAAAAAGAGTTGACACGTCTTGTGTATTTTATAGTTTGGGACCGGTTTATCTTGACATTACCAGTTAGCACAAATGTTCATTCAAAATAGTGGATTCTTGTGGCATGAAAATTACATAAAGCATAATTACACAAGCATTGAAATAAGCTATATTTTCCCTCTCAATAAAATAGCCCAACGGCAGGGTGGGTACATTTTTGGTAGCCTGACTGGAAAACATAATAGCCCCAGGACATCGGCAAGCAGTTTTGCGAACCCTGATTGTGAAGAATGCCAGAAACCTGTAGCCATTGACCTCCATAGATTACATTGTTGTGAGTTTCTTCTTTTGCTTTGAACAGAAAAATAAACTCATAAAGGTTTGGAACCACTTGAGGGTGAATAAATAATGACTGAATTTGAACTCCTTTAACTATACATGAGCAATAATAACAGTGCCTACTTTATAGCCATAGATGGCACATCCAAAACTAATATTATACCCACTGAGAAAACTCCAGACAGTGTTGAAATGTCTTTTGATTTGCTGTGTATCCTAGAAAGACTCTTTGACTGAACTCCGGATGACTGATGCAGAGAGGAAGAAACCACTTCCAAAGACCGTCCACAGCATGAAT